TACAGGCGCATGCCACCACAGCGAGCTAATTTTTGTATTTGTAGTAGAGACGGGGTTTCGCCATGTTGGCCAGGCTGGTCTTGAACTCCTGACCTCAGGTGACCCACTGCCCTCAGCCTCCCAAAGTGCTGGCATTACAGGTGTGAACCACTGCGCCCGGCCCCGACTGACACCTGACTTGGAGTCTGTAACAACCCTGACAAGAGACTGTACCTAGGACCCCAATGAGCCAGACTGCGAGTGACGTTTCCCATCCAGCAATTGCTGGTATTGGTGAGCCGCATTCAATGTTTCTTGGGAAATCCAGGCACAAAGAGGTAGTTGGAAGAGTCTCTCAGGTGGCTGATTATCTTGGGCAAGCTAGGCCTGGAGTTCAAAACACACAGAAAAACAGCATGGATGAATGGAAGAAAGGAACTGGAGACGCGGTGACCCGTGAAGTGGGAACGCCGAGAGGGACATTTCCCAGGAGCAGCACTAGCTTCGTGGCTGGTGAGATTTTAATTAGATTTAAAGGCTTTTGTTTAAGCCTCAGGATTGTAGATTTAAACAGATCAATACACTGACTTCGAATATGGGGAATATCATGGGACCCTGGGGACCGGCCTTCGGTGGAGGAATAGGGGCTGGCTGTGTTGCCTCAGAATCCCCGACACACGCGTGGGAAGGAGAGCCAGGAGGGGCCAGGCTGTTCGGGAGAAGAAGCCAGCAGGCATGGGCTTCACACCTGACCTGTTGCACCAGGCACTGGATAAATAGCCGCGGGCAAGTCAGTCTGAGGCTGATTCCTCCCTGCTGAGCGGGCACAGCCACACTCAGGGATTCGGACGTGGAGACAAGAGCCCAGACACTGGCTGGTGTGCAGAACAAGCCAGCTGGGATGGTATCAGAAGGCATCTTCCTTTTTGCTCCCCCAGGTCCCCCCTTGAATTCCTGCAGAGGGTGAGTGGGTGACCTGTGGCTGCTGGAACAAAGTGCCACAAACCAGACAGTGTAAAACAACAGACACTCACACTCGCCGTCCCGGGGCCAGAAATCTGGAATCAGGGTGTTGGGAGGGCCGTACTCTCTCCAAAGGCGCTGGGGGCCCTTCCTCGCCTGCCCCGTCTTCTGGTCATTGGCTCGTTCTTTGTCCCGCTCCCCCGCCGTCATCACGGGGACCTCCTGGCCTCTGCGTCCTCTCGTCATCTTCACACTCTCTGAGTGTGTCTGTGCCCAAGTTCCCTCCTCTTACAAGGACACTAGTAAGTTGCTTGGATTTAGGGTCCACATGAACCCAGCGTGACCTAATCTGAGCTGGGTTACATCCTTGAAGATTCTATTTCCAAGTAAAGTCACATCTGGAAGTTCCGGATGGACACGAATTTGTGGGGGCTGCCGTTCAACTCAGTACAGTGAGAGATGAAAATGTGGGTGCTCCCATGACTTTTTCAATTACCCTCAGGGCATCAATGTCCTGTAGTCACTTTAAGTCCAAAATAGTGTCTTGGGTGGGTGCGGTGCCTCACGCCTGTAATCCCGGCACTTTGGGAGGCTGAGATGGGTAGATTGCTTGAGTCCAGGAGTTTGAGATCAGCCTCAAACTAGTCAACATGGTGAAACCCCGTCTCTACAAAAAATACAAAAATTAGCCAGGCATAATGGTGCATGCCTGCAATTCCCACTACTTGGGAGGCTGAGACAGAAGGATTGCTTAAGTCCAAGAGGTCAAGCCACTGCGCTCCAGCCTGAGTGACATAGTGACACCCTGTCTCAAACCAAAAACAAAACCAAAAACACCAAAATAGAGTCGATTCAGAAATGCAAGGTTTCCAGCCCAATGCGTTAGTCCACACATTCTTCTCCATTCCAAGCCAAGGCACGTGGGACAGGCAACAGGGGCGGGGAGGATCGAGGCGGCATCTTCCCCATCTGACCCCCTCCCAACTCATCCCCCTCTGAAGGGGCAGGCCAGGCTCCAGGAGGCGCGACGGGGGCAGGAAAGGTCTGCGTGGCTGACACTGTCCTCACGTGGCTCTGTGTCTGGCGTCTGCCAGAGTTCATAGCTGTCGCCTCCTCTCTTGGGAACTGGCCAGTTGGGAGGCACTCAGGGCAGGGGTTCCTTGACAGCAGCCCCTGGGGTCTGGGCAGAGGCTTTGTTCCTGAGCAGCCTGCCGCCCACCCCTGTCTGCTGAGGCTGTTTGTCCTTAGAGGTGGCCCGCTGGCCTGCACTGGCTGGCACTGCGGCCCTCATCCACCTCCGTCTGGTCAAAGGATGGCCTGCAGGTGGGACCGTGCCTTAAAACGGGCGAGCCAACCCTGGTCTCTTGACCCCTCACTGTGCCTCTAACTCCGCCCTGCCCTGATCCTTTCTGATTCTAGGCCTTGAAGAGCTGCGACACCTCCCCTTGGCCACCCTGCCCTGACAGCCGGTAGGGACCTGTCTCACTCCGTGCTCTGCTGTCAGATCTGGCATCCTGGTGCTTCTGTCAGCCGAGAGTGGGAGACCCTGCTACCCACGTCGTGCTAGCACAGGGCTTGGCATGGGACAAGCCCTTGATGAGCGATGCTGTGGTTATTCAGACACATTCGCTGCCCTCGTGAGGCTGAGGCTTCGGGGTGTGGCTCAGGTGGAGGGGCAACCTCAAAGGGCCCCCTTGATGGGAGTGTGAGGGTGTGAGGCCGAGGTGACGGGGAGGCGGCAGGCTGGGCTCCGAGGAGGCTTTAGGAACTGAACCAACCCTGAGCTTCCGTGGGGTCTGAGTCGGGTGGCTGGCTGTGACATTCAGGGCTGCGTGGATCCAGCAGCCCATGGAAAGGAGCTACGAAGCTCACAATGTTGTGGGAGGCGCTAAGAGCAGGCCACGGACCCCAGGCTTCACCCCGCAGGGGATGAGGGGCCTGGCAGGTGTGAGCAGCCATGCTTCGGTTCCTCCTGCCCGTGGCTCGGGGGACATGAACCTTTCTCCTCGACACACTCTTCCCTTAGACCTCAGCTTTGGCCCCGTTTGTTCCTCGGCTCTCCAGAGTGACGTTCCCTGGTGTCCTAGGTCAGATTCCCTAGAGGTGGAGCCTGGGATGGGGATTTTTTTTTTTCTTGAGACAGAGTCTCACTCTGTCGCCCAGGCTGGAGTGCAGTGGCATGATCTTGGCTCACTGCAACCTCCACCTCCTGGATTCAAGTAATCCGCCCACCTCAGCCTCCCAAGTAGCTGGGATTACAGGCATGCACCACCAAGCCCGGCTAATTTTTGTATTTTTAGTAGAGACCCGGTTTCTCCATGTTGGCCAGGCTGGTCTCGAACTCCTTAGCTCAAGTGATCCTTGCTCCTTGGCCTCCCAAAGTGTTGGGATTATAGGCACGAGCCACCACACCTGGCCAAGATGGTGATTCTGGAGCCAGGTTTATTGAGAGGGACTCAGGGGACGGGAAGGGGAGGAGGCGGGAGATAGGAGGAGGCACAGCAGACATGGTGTTTCCGCTACAGCCTGATGGCCTCAGCCCCGTCCCACCGGGGAGCTCTTGCCACTGACAGGCAAGGAGCTGGAGATTTTGTACCCTGCATGGCATGACACCGGCTTTAGCCTACCTTCTGGGGGATGCTGTGATGGCCAGGCACTTCCAGGAAGGAATCTCCTGGCTGACTGCAGTTCCCTCCAGCTCTGAGTACCTGGGCAAGGCACCAGCAGCTTCTCCTGCTCTGCACCTGCTTCCCAATGGCTCTTCTTGTCCTCCCAGTGAGAGGCACAGGGCTCCCTCCTCAACCCTCTCCCCTCCATTCACCTCACCCGCTCTGCAATCCAACGTCCATGGCTTCTTCACCAATGCCACCTTCTCCCTTAGCAAATCATAGCCAATTGATTAACAGTGACTTCCAGGTAACAGTCCTGATGGTATGTGTCTTAGTCCATTATACTGCTATAACATATACTTGAGACCTGGTCACTTATTTAAAAATACCGGGAATTTATTTCTCACAGTTCTGGAGGCTGGGAAGTCCCAGAGCAAGGCGCCGGCAGAGTCAGTACCTGGTGAGGGCTGTTCTCTGCTTCCAAGATGGCACTTTGTTATTGCATTCTGCAGAGAGGACAAAGGCTGTGTCCTCACATGGCAGAAGGGACAGAGGGGCAAGAGGGAGATGAACGAATGCCTTCCAACAAGCTTTCAGAAGGGCTCTGATTCCATTCATGAGGGTGGTGTCCTCCTAACTCAATCACCTCCTAAAGGCCACACCTCTTAATACTGTTGCATTGGGGACTAAGATTCAACATGAATTTTGGAGGGAACACAAACATTCAAGCCATAGGAATCACACACACAGACACACACACACACACATATATACACATACATATATACACACACACACATATATATGCACACATATATATATACACATACATATATACACACATATATACACACACACACATATATATACGCACACATATATATACACATACATATATACACACATATATACATACACACACACACACATATATACGCACACATATATATATACACATACATATATACACACACATATATATACGCACACATATATATATACACATACATATGTACACACATATACACACATACATATATATATGCAAACATATATATATACACATACATATATACACACACACATATATACACACACATATATATACACGCATATATACACACACACATGCACACATATATATACACATACATATATACATGCATATATACATACACACACACATATATACGCACACATATATACACATACATATATACACGCATATATACACACACACGCACACATATATATACACATACATATATACACACATATATACATACACACACACATATATACGCACACATATATACACACACACACACACACACACACACACACACACACTCACACATATTTATGTGTGTATACATATATTTTTTTTAGATGGAGTATTGCTCTGTAGCCAGGCTGGAGTGCAGTGGCGTGATCTCGGCTCACTGCAACCTCCACCTCCCAGGTTCAAGAGATTCTTCTGCCTCAGCCTCTCAAGTAGCTGGGATTACAGGCAAGCACCACCACACCCAGCTAATTTTTGCTTTTAGTAGAGACGGGGTTTCACCGTGTTAGCCGGAATGATCTTGATTTCCTGACCTCATGATCCGCCCACCTCAGCCTCCCAAAGTGCTGGGATTATAGGCGTGAGCCACTGCGCACGGCCTTATATTCTTTTTTATTGTCTAGTATTTATAGAAACCAACTGTAACTCACATTTTGTGTTTTCCGCTACCATTTTTAAGGCCTGTCCACATCTTTTATCTTGATATTGTTTCACAACCCAATCAAGTGTTTTTCTAAATTCTCACTTCAGAGTTAATGACTGTGAGCATGAGCGAGGCACTGTGTCTGGGCTTGCTTTAGAAGAATAGTAAGCATATAAAATGCTGTAAAATGAACTTTATTGAGCTATAAGTTGGATACAGTAGAATGTGCCTATTTTAAGTGTGCAGGTCAATGGGCTTTGACGCACACGTATACCTGTGTAACCACTGCCCTCACCACCACCTCCCTGGTCCCAGCCAATCATCAATGCTTTCTGTCACCGCACATTAGCTTTTAGCCTCTCTGGAATTTCACATAAATGTAAATCATACTTTGTGCAGCCATTTGCGTCTAGTTTCTTTTGCTCAGTGTAACATCTGTGAGATTTATCCATGTTTTGGTTATTAAGAATAAAGGGACTGTGCACATTTAAGAACACATTTTTGTGTAGATATAGGTTTTCATTTCTCTTGAGTAAATACCTAGGAGTGGGGTTCTGGTTGACATGGGTGAGTATATGTTTAAATTTATAAGACAATGCCAAATTATTTCCAAAGTGGGTGTACAATTCTGCATTTGCTCCAGGAATGTGTAAGAGCTCCAGTTGCTTCCTGTCCTTGCTAATGCTTGAAATTATGTCTTCTAATCAACCATTCTAGAAGTGTCAGTGATTTTTTTTTTAAGACAAGGTCTTGCTCTGCTGCCCTGGCTGGAGTGTAGTGGCACGATCATGGTAGCCTTGATCTCCCAGGCTCAAGCAATCCTCCCAAGTTGCTGACATTACAGGCATGCACTAGCATGCCCGATTAATTTTTAAATTTTTTATAGAGACAGGGTCTTGCAATGTTGCCCAGGCTGGTCTCAAACTCCTGGGCTCAAGTGATCCTCCCACCTTGGCCTCCCAAAGTGCTGAGATTACATGTGGGAGCCACCGTGCCTAGCCTGGGGTTTTAACTTAAATGTGCATGACAACCAATGGTATTAAACTTCTATGTATGCACTTACTGGCCATTTGTATATTTTCTTCTGTGAAATATCTTTGAATTTTTTACACATTTCTAAAAATTGGGTTGTCTTCAAAGTGAGTTGTAAGAGTTCTTTACATTCTGTACACCAGTCTTTTAGCAGATATATGCATTGTAAATAATTTTTTTTTCTGGCCTGTGGCTTGCTATTTAATTCCTTTTTTAACAGGGTCTTTTGAAAAGCAGAAATTCTGACCAGGCGCGGTGGCTCACGCCTGTAATTCCCACACTTTGAGAGGCTGAGGTGGGTGGATTACGAAGTCAGGAGATCGAGACCATCCTGGTTAACATGGTGAAACCCTGTTTCTACTAAAAATACAAAAAAATTAGCTGGGTGTTGTGGCAGGTGCCTCTACTCCCAGCTACTCTGAAGGCTGAGGCAAGAGAATTGCTTCAACACGAGAGGTGGAAGTTGCAGTGAGCCAAGATTGCGCTATTGCATTCCAGCCCGGGTGACAGAGGGAGATTCTGTTTCAAAAAAAAAAAAAAAGAAAAGAAAATCAGAAATTTTAAATTTCCTTAAAGTTTAATTTATTGAAACTTTATTTGCTCATGATTTTGGCTTTCTAAGAAATCTTTGCTTCACAAGGTTGTGAAGGTTTTCTCCTGTCTCCCTCTAAAAGTTTCATAGTTTTAGTTTTTATGTTTAGGTCTGTGACTTTTTTCAAGTTCATTTTTGTGTACCATATGAGGGAATGGGCATTTCCATATATAATTGTTCCAGTACTTTACTGAATAGACCATCCTTTCCTCATTGGATTATTTTGGCAGTTTGGTAAAACATCAACAGACCGTATAATGTGTGGGTCTGTTTCTGGATTCTCTATTCTTTTCCACAAATATATGTTAATTCTTATAGCAATATTACCTGCCTGGATGACTGCAGCTTTATAGTAAGTCTTCTCATCGAAATGTTATATATGTAAAAAAATAAAAATGTTATTTTTTAACGTTATTTTAGATTTTCCACATTTTTTCATCTTTTTCAAAGTTATTTTTGCTCTTCTAGGACTTTTTTGTTTCCATATAAATTTTAGAATCACCTTATACATTTTTATAAGAAAAATCTACAGGGCTTTTAATTGGGATTGCATTAAACCTCAGCTCAACTTGAGTAAAATCAACATCTTAATGATATTGAGTTTTCCAATCCTTGAATAGGGTATATTCCTCCATTTATTTAGGTCTTCTTTAATTTCTCTCATGAGTGCTTTAAAGTTTTCAATGTACAAGTCTTGCACACATTTTATTAATTTTGTCCCCAAAGTACTTCACATGCTTGATGAAAAATTTTTTTGTTTTCTAACTCATCATTGCTAGATTAAGTATACAATTGATTTTTGTATACTGACCCTGTATCCAGCAACCTTGCCAAATTAACTTCTTGGCAAAGCAGACTGGACCCTGTGATCATGCCTGGGAACAGAGGGACACACACAGCATCCCAGGTAGTGTGGCAGATGTAAGGTGGTTCCCAGATTTGTCCATAGAGTCATTTCATTCTCAGAGGTGAACAAAGGTAAACCATCATGCAGAGCCAGAGAGAGGCTCTTAAGGTATAACATTTAAGAAACTCTTTTTAGCAAGGGCGAGGCAGCCTTAAAAAACACAGAGCACCTCCTTAAATTTTGCATCTTGTTACCATGTCATCATTATAAAACCCAAATGGAATTCCACTTGCTAAAAACTCCCTTTTTCATATGCATATTTAATGTTCACCAGAAAATCTAAATGGATTTACAGGAAGAAAACAAACAGAACTATTTCTATTTATGTTGAAAAGTAATTCTTTTTTTTTTTTTTTTTAATCTTCTGTGTGCCCACAGACATCTAGGCATGAAATAAAGGGCAATGCATGTGGCAGCTCCAGATCCCACAGGCACAGGAATGTGGCACTAAATTTTCCAGGAATTTAGCTACCACACAAAGCAAGGGAGACGGCTCTTTGTTTTTGGGAGACTTCTCCAAGAATCATTCACCGTGGCCGAGCCACACAGTACTGAGAACAACACCACTGATGGTGGCTTCCATCCACTGGCCTCTGTAGATGCCCCTAGAAAACACATGCCAGACAGGCTTGGAGAATTCTTTGAGAGACTAGGAGCATGGGCTGGGCGCGGTGGCTTACGCCTGTAATCCCAGCACTTTGGGAGGCCGAAGTGGGTGGATTGCTTGACGTCAGGAGTTCGAGACCAGCCTGGCCAACATGGTGAAACCCCGTCTCATTTAAAAAAAAAAAGAGAGAGAGAGAGAATAGGAGTAAGTATTATGTAGCACATGTTAAATATGCACAAAAAAAATCTTTGGTTTTGGCTGGGGGTGGTGGTGCACGTCTGTAATTCCGGTGATCTGGGAGGCCAAGGCAGGAGGATTGCTTTAGGCCTGGAGTTGGAGACCAGACTCGGCAACTTAGCGGGATCCCATCTCTACAAAAAACAAAACAATTACCAGGTGTGGTGGCTCATGCCTATAATCCCAGCACTTTTGGAGGCCAAGGTAGGAGGATTACTTGTGTCCAGGAGTTCAAGACCAGCCTGGGCAACATAGTGAGACCCTGTCTCTGCCAATAAATAAGTAAATAACTAGCCTGGCATGGTGGCGTGTGCCTGTAGTTCCAGCTACCTGGGAGGCTTAGGCAGGGGAATCCCTCAGCTTGGGAGGCTGATGCTGCACGGAGCTATGACCATGCCACTGCACTCCAGCCTGGGTAACAGAACAAGATCCTGTCTCAAAAACAAACAAACAAAAAGCAAAAAAGAAAAGAAAAAAGGACAAAGAAAAAGAGAAAAGAAAAGGAAAGAAAAAAAAGAACTTTGGTTTTATGTGGAAAATCGGCACGAGTCTTTCTCATTTCTAGGCACAAACAATTGTTAGGGCTTTGCACCACGTGAGTGTCCCACAGAACGTTTGCAAGGTGGCCGGAAGCAGGAGAGCGTGTTGCAGTGAGGGGTTGTCCTGGACAATGGGGCACCTGCTGCTCTGGCCGTGCCACCAAATGCCAGACACAATCATGGCCACCACCAAAGGGCTCCTACAAATGTCCGAATGCCACTGTAGAGGAATACTATTTTTAAAGGGCCCCTGGGCTGCAGTGTGGCAAGAGTCTCATCAAACTGCCCCCCCAACTCCGTAGTCCAACCCCAAACACTCACCTTCCCCACTGTTACTGTTACCAGAAAGGGGGCCCGCTCCAGACTCCAAGAGAGGGCTCTTGGACCTCACATGAGAAGAAATCTGAGGCAAGTCTCTAAAGTGAAAGCAAGCTTATTAGGAAAATCAAGGAGTAAAGGAACGGCTACTCCATCAGCAGAACGGCGGCATGGGCTGTGCGCTGATTACACTTATGATTACACTTATTTCTTGATTATATGCTAAATAAGGGGTAGATTGTTCATGACTTTTCCAGGAAAGGGGAGGGCAATTCCTGGAACTGAGGGTTCTTCACCCCTTTAGACGATAAAGAGTAACTTCTGGACGTTGCCATGGCATTTGTAGATTGTCACGTGCTGGTGGAGTGTCTCTTAGCACGCTAATGTATTATAATGAGCATTTAATGAGCAGTGAGGACAACCAGCGGTCACGGTCGCCATCTTGGTTATGGTGGGATTTGGCTGGATTCTTTACCTCGAACTGTTTTATCAGCAGGGTCTTCGGGGCTGTATCTTGTGCTGACCTCCTGTCTCACCCTGTGACTTAG